TTTAATTCTTTCAAAAAAAATGCCTTTAATTAATACCCTTGAAAGCAAATGTTGACCCTAATCTCGAATTGCATATTCTTTCGAATAGAATCGCACCTGTGCCTCTACAATTGTGTCGTCATTACAATTATATCATAACAAAAATGCTATAGGTACCCCATATAAAAAATGCTATAGGTATCCCATATAAAATGATATAGGCAATTAAAAAATCCTACTCCAATTTGTACCCCATATAAAAGTCTTCCTATTTTTATCATTTTTTTACCCCTTCAAACATCTCTCATCTCACACCATCTCTTTCTTTCTCCCATCCGTCCCTTGCTATTCTCTCACCTCCATTCCCATTTTTTCTCCTCTTTTCATTTCAAGAACTCTCATCTCCATTTTTGAATGTTTCAGGATCTCCCCATCTAGTTGTCTCTAAGGTAACCATCCCTTCTCAAATAATGAGGTACGTACTCTATTTTTCGTTTTTTCCAACGCCTCAATCATTCCCCTCTCCTCAATGCTCGTCGATCTGAAATCCTCCATAAATCAAAGCACGGCCCGACGCCTCAGATCTCTGGCGGTAGAGGTCGGGGGAAGCCCCATCCGTCATGTGAGGCACTGATTCGTCATTTTGCTATTTTTTCCTCATTTTTTGGTATTTTTTTCGTCCAACTCCACATGAAAAAGGGTTGTCTGTCTGACAGACAAATTTGAAGTGCAGTGTCTGTCTAGCTGAACATGGTTTCATAATTGGTAGAGTCTTATATAAGATGTCTGTCTGGACAGACAAATTTATTTGTTTGAGCACATAGAACAACTTTATGTATGCACATCTTCTTATTTTACAAATGTATTTTATATTACGTGTGATGACTTTTGTGATGTCTCTTCGGATGTTGAAAACTGGTTTGTAGTTGTCTGTGAAGTGAAAAGAGTTGTCTGGCATTCCATTTGATTTGTCTGTAATGTGAAATGAATTCTTTAAAATTAATTTGTAGTTGTCTGTATGTGAAAAGCGTTGTCTGGCATTCTATTTGAGTTGTATGTAATGTGAAAATAGTCTGTCTGTCTACATATGTATTGCAACAAATTGTCTGTAATGTGATATAAAATGTCTGGCATTTATTCTGAGTTGTCTGTCTACAGGTCGGGAGAATGTGGAGTGATGGTGGCTTCCTTTGCAGAGCAGCTGTTAATGGGAAAGTCATTGATTCCAGGTTGCGAGTATGCAAACATGTGGAACAAGGTGGAGGAAGCATAGGAATTGTTATAAATGTGGGAATGTATTTTTGTGGGTTGTTTTGATGAGTTTAGTAAAACTGTATTTTATAGTACATTTTGATGAGTTTAGTAATTGTTAATGTGGTTATATAAAAGTGTTCGGAGATATGATTGTATTTGTTAATGTACAAATGAATTTGGTGAAAACCAAACATGTATAAATTGTCTGTGTTGGTATGAAGTTCCCCAGTAAAGAAGCAATTTAAATAAGTCTAAATAGACTATTATAGGTGAAATACAACTGTTGAATAGAAAAACAACACAGATAACCAGGCATACATTACTTTCACGCAGAAAGACAACAACTTTACACACACAGTCAATACCGTAGATACCCAGACAAACAAAAGATGTGGATAATTGTAAATGTAATATTTGCAAAAACTTACACATGTTCAAAAAAATGAATCCAATTGTTCGACATTTAACATGTAACATTATACAATATTCAACACATTTTCCCAACTGTAATATGAAAAAAATACATTTTCAAAAAATCACAAGTTCAAAAAGGGCACATTTCCCCAACACTATATACTTCAGCATCCTTGCATTTGTTTCTTCATTGCAAAAGAAGTCACATACGGTATCATATTTGTAAATGAATTAGCATCCGCTTGGAACACTTTTTCAACCTTACATTTTAAGTCATTCGTCATCTTGAAGTGAATACCTACAATTAATACACAACACGTAGTCAGAACACATATTTGGTATAAATAGCATATGTGAGGCATAGTCCATTTGTCTGGAAGAGACAACTATTGTCTGGCACAGTCAACTTTTGTCTGGTTATGAGACAGAGAGTAGTTAATTGGCCCAGACTACTAATGTATGGCCCAGACAAAATTTGTCTGGCTGTAAGACAGAAAGTAGTTAAATGGCCCAGACTACTAATGTCTGGCTCAGACAAAATTTGTCTGGATGTAATACAAAGAGTAGTTAATTGGCCCAGACTACTAATATCTGGCCCAGACAAAATTTGTCTGACTGTAAGACAAAGAGTAGTTAATTGGCCCAGACTACTAATGTTTGGTCCAGACAAAATTTGTCTGGCTGTAAAACAGAGAGTAGTTAATTGGCTCAGATTTTAAGACAAAACCGCGTTCACTTTAGGCTAGACAAACACTACAATTCTAAATTGTCTGTCCGCCAAACAAAATACAAACAAAAGACAAAAAAACAACATACTCTACTCCAAGTCTTCAACGTCCACACCTTCATCATCTTCTTCCCTTGAGGTACAAAAAAATGGAAAAAAGTCTTGAATTTCAACAAAAAATTCATTGAGTAATTTCTACAAACATGTTATGGACATAAAATGAACTAGAGAAATTACACTAAAATTTTAATTAATTAACAACTCTAAATAATTACAATGAAACAAACTAATCAATTATTCACTTTTATATCATACATTCATACATAATATACATAAAATCGAAAAAAGGGAAAACAAATAAAATAAAAAACGCACATGAGGAAAAAACGGAAAATAGAGTATGTACCTCATTATTTGAGAAGGGATGGTTACCTTAGAGACAACTAGATGGGGAGATCTTGAAATCTTCAAAAATGGAGATGAGAGCTCTTGAAATGAAAAAAAGAGAAAAAATGGAAATGGGGGTGAGAGAATAGCAAGAGACGGATGGGAGAAAGAAAGAGAGGGGATGAGAGATGTTTGAAGGGGTAAAAAAAATGGTACAAATAAGAAGGCTTTTATATGAGTTACAAATTGGGGTAGAATTGAGGTACCTATTACATTTTTGTATATCATAAATCGATCGACAGATAAAGTCACTAGATGATAAGTTAGGAAATTTAATGCTTATTTCTCATATTTCTAGAAATTAAAGTGATACTCCCTTTGTCCCGTTGGAATGTTCCTGTTCACTATTCATTGATCAACTTAGGTCACTCCTAATCTTTTACTTTATATATCATTTTTTTATCAAATTGAACTTTTCTTGATCATGCTTTGTAGCGGTTTTAATGTAGTTTCTGAATATGTAAATTTTATTTGCTAAAAATAAGCGAAGTGTGAACAGGGATCGAGTTGCTTCATCGTCGGTCAAGCATCGTAAACTGAACAGGAACATTTCAACGGGACGGAGGGAGTATTTTTTGTTGTTCCGTGATCATATACTACCTCCGTCCTATTTATATATCTCATTTGACTTTGGTACAATTATTAATAAAATAGTTGAAAATGTAAAAGTTATAGTTGAAATTTGGGTATAATAAATTGAAATGTTGTGGACCACATATTTACTTCTAAAAAGAGAAATGTGACACTTAGAGCCCGTTTGGTAACACTAAAATTGGTTGAATTGGCTGATTTTGCTGAAATTTATGAAGTTCCGACTGAAGTGGCTGTATTGGCTGATTCTGCTGATTCATGAAAAAATTATATTTAAAATATATGTTATTAATAAATTTAATAAAAAATTATATGAAAAAATAGCTAAAATGATCTTCTGCAGTAACTTCAGCCAAAACAGCCAGAAAAGTAACTCCAGCCTTACTTTTTCTGCTTATTACAAACTTTAGCGCGCGAAATCAAAAATTACGTATTTGATGAAAACGTTGGCTGATAAGCCTAATAAGCCATAAAAAGGGTTCACCAAACGGGGTCTTATTTCGAATCAATCCAAAAATAAAAGTAAGACGAGAAAATGGAACGGAGGGAGTATTACTCGGTACTCCGTCTTTTCTTGTCAAGACTCTGGAGAATCCCACTAGACCATAAAGGGTAATAAAACCTCTTAAGTCCTAAAGGCAAAAATTATGGAACACAAGTCTTTACAAGATAGCGGGTCAAGTTAAAAGCAGGCTGACTACATTGGCGACCAAATCCGTATATTGCAATTCGTCCTCAATGACGAAAATTAAAAGAAATAATTAATTAGATGTTTATGATTAAAATAAAAATTATTTATAAAAATGTGATTAGTGAATGAAGTAGTAATGAAGTCAAAGTAATTTATGATCAAATCTTAAACTTAAGTTACTATGACACTAGAATGTAATAATTATTAGTTATATTTGTGTAAATAAGTTTTACTCCAGTAATAATCAGCTCAGATGTGTTTTATTACAAAAGTTAGTCATTTGGGAGTTGGACCATGACTTTAAATTACAAAGAATTTATCACCGATAAAGTGTGCAAGGACAAACTATGACTAAATCAAATTTGGAAGATATCTAACAATTTAAGGGATTATTTGCTGAAATTCTTGGAGTAATTTGGGATTGGGCTCACAAGCTGGGCTTCCCACTTTGATTTTTTGTGAATTGTTTTTGTTCGACTTTTAGTCCTTTGGACACTAAGTCGGGGCCTGTCCCGTACTAGTTTTTGAGTGCTATGAGCCGGGGCTTGTCCCGTGTCATTTTTTACTTCGGAAAAATTTCTCTCTCTCCCCCCTAACCGCGAGGTGTGGGGGGGGGGGGGGGGGGGATACGATAGATACTATTTTAGGTTAGCATGCTAACTTAGATAGTTCCTTTGTTTTTCTTTAGATGCATTGTATTATGCTATTTTCTGGATATATATACTTACAGTTTATCCAAGAAAATGAAAACACACAGCATGTTGTCTGTTGAGACAGACAATAGTATGCATAATTTGTTTTCACAACATTCTTGTGTACATTCATAAATACAATCACATATCCAACACGTATACACACTTTTACATAAAAACAACATTAACTATCAAAACATACTACAAAACACTCTTTTACCAATACTTGCATGCCCATACAGACGTTATTTCTAAGTAAACAAACAAATGACATTGTTTGTCAGACAAACATTATACATATGGGTCAAACAACTATGAAACTAAGTTTCAGTAGACAGACACTGCAATTATAAGTTGTCTGTTAGACAGAGAACCCTTTTCATATCTAAAATTCCTTAAAAAATCAAGAAAACAAAATCAAGAAAATCAAGAAACCAAATCAAAGACAACAACACATACTCAAGCCTTCGACCTCTATAGCTTGTTCATCGTCCTCCCTTGACCTCACATCCAGTTCAACGACAACCGGCGTAAGACCATCGTCTCCACCTTCATCACCTAGCTCTCCAAAAGTCAAGCTATCCAAGAGTGAGTTATCAACCCACTGAGATGTATCATCCCCGTTTAGTTCCATTGAAGACGAGTTTCTACGGAGAAGATGATGTGGCTCAATCATGGGTTGAGTGCGGCACTGTAGCTCGATCGTTGCTTGTAGGTTTTTTGGCGGAACAAATTCAGCGCAGGGGAAGGAGGAGGGGGATGTGACTTGTGAGAGGAGATAATTTTTGGAGGGGGTAAAGAATGGTAAAAATAGGAGGGTTTTATATGGGGTGCCCGCCAAAGGTGTACACTTTTTGTGTACTCCTAGCGAAATTGAAATATTATTGATTAAAACCTTGGTTGTAATCGAATAGGAAATGAACGGATCTTGTAAAAGCCTTGTTGTAAACTTAGAAGCTGTTCTTTTCATCTGATCTGAATATTTCTGATCTGAATTTTTTAAGATCTGATCTAATTTGAATTTTTCTGATCTGATCTGATCTGAATCTTTGTGATCTGATCTGATCTGAATGCTTCTCATCTGATCTGACCTGATCCGAATCCTTCTGATCTGATCTTAACTTTCTAAACCGGTATATAATAATAATATTAATAATAATAATTCTAATAATAATATCAATAATAATAATAATAATATAATCGATAATAATAGAATGTTTTCAATTTGCTATGAATGTTTCTGATCTGATCTGATCTGAATGTTTGTGATCTAATTTGATCTGATCTGATCTGAATGTGTGTGATCTGATCTAATCTGATCTGAATCTTTTTGATCTGATATGAATCTTTCTGATCTGATCTGATTTGATCCAATCTGAGCTAAATCTTTCTGATCTGATCTGGTCTGAATTTTTCTTATCTGGTCTGAATAAAATAATAATAAGCAATAAGTAATAAGAATATAACCTCACCTTATACGAGTACTCCGTAATTTGTAGTGCTTATACCGTGGTACCGGTGCATGGTACCACATAAAAAAACAGATCAAAAATAAAAAAAAATATTAACAATTTTAAGAAAATGAGAAATAAAAAATAACAAAGGGTGCATGGTGAGCACCATGCACCCTTTGTTATTTTTTATTTCTCATTTTCTTAAAATTGTTAATAATTTTTTTATTTTTGATCTAATTTTTATAAAATTTATACCAATTATTTTTTATTTTTCATGATCTTTCAAATGAGACCAATATTGCCTATGTAATTTTAATTTTTTACATTCATACATTTATTTGTAATATATTTTTATATGCATACACTTTTTCTATAATATATTTTTTTTATCACTTTTATATGTTTTAGAGGTTTTTAAGATATTAAGTTTGTTTATTTTGCTTCTAGCTTGGAGTTACATTTGATAATATACGTAGTTACATCATCTTATACTCCAGTTACAAGTTATTATGTGTGAGTTACATCTTGTTATGTGTGAGTTGCATACTTTTATGCGAGAGTTACATGTAATTATGTGTGAGTTACATCTTGTTATGTGTGAGTTACATCTTGTTATACACGAGTTACATACTTTTATGCGTGAGTTTCATGTAATTATGTGTGAGTTATATCTAATTATTTGTGATTTTTTACTTATCTTTATCTTGAACTAATTCAATTAACTAAATTAATTTTTTTCTTTACCAATTTAATACAAAATTTTATTAATCCACATAAAATAAGTATATTGTATTTCATATTCATACACTATTTTTCAAATGATAAAAATGATAGATGTAGCAGGGGTTTATTTCATGGTGTAACTCACATACATTAAGATGTAACTCGTGTATATTAAGAAGTAACTCGCGTACAATAAGATGTAACTCGCGCAGAAGAAGAAGTAACTTCATGATATATTATCAAATGTAACTTCAAAATAAATTGTTAAAATTACATAAGCAATATTGGTCTCATTTGATATATCATGAAAAATAAAAAAAATGGTATAAAACCTATAAAAATCGGATATCAAATAAAAAAGTTATTACAATTTTTAACAATAAAAGAAAAAAAAAATAGTGAATGCTACCTCGTTTTGGGATCAGACGCACCATCCTCGTGATGCGCCGATCCCAGGGTATAAATTGGGGTAATGTGAGGGTGACATCATTGTGATGCACGTGTCTACTGTCTAACAAGTCGCCTAGCTAGGTAATTTAGGGGGAGCATGCGGCTATTAAGTTTTTCCGAAAGGTATTGGCTAGTGTATAATTTCCGAAATTTAGGACATCTTTTTGCACGAGACCAGAAAAGTATTAGAGATAATTGCACTCTTAAATTCGTTTTTTTGTAGTTTTAGTAGAATGAAAATTAGAGAAATTAATTTTTGAATGGGGTTTTGCATCTGAATTAAGAAAATGAGAATTATGTGATAGAGAGCAGATGAGACTTGTCACAAACACAAAGTCTTTACAAAAATGAAAGAAAATAACGTTTTAAAACACGTGAAAAAGGAAAAATTGGAAGATAATTGAAGGACAAAAAGAATAATATACAAAGTGTAAATAATCAATCAATATGTCCCATTTGAGTGCTTTTTATTTAAAGCAATTTCTTAAATTATTTTCGGACCATTTATTTGTCATCTATATTGATTGTCACTCTAAATAAATAGAGGAGGTATTTACCTAAATAGGAGTAAATCAGTCTTTAATTGCAAAACCAGGACCAAAGTTTAAAAATTCCCGAAATAAGAGTTATTATTTGTAATCAGACAAAAACACCTCTGAAGCTTATAAGTCATACTCCCGCAGACCACAACACTGGGCCACATCCATTCGTCGGTCACCACCGGTCGCCGCCATTCAACGTCGATCGCCGACAACCTAAAAAATGAGCCGCCGTCGCAGATGAGCCCACCGTCGTTGCAAATCTGGAGGGCGTAACCGGATTGAGCCTCTGTCGGCGGTCAGCCGCCGTCCCTTAAGATCCAGCCACTTTCGCAACTAATGTGGCATTCACTGCTACAAATCTAACCTCCTTAGTTACAGATCTGCCCGTTTCCAGTGTAAATGCCATGATTTTTATCAGAATGCCATCTTAATGGCATTTCCAGATGAAAATACAAAAAATTTTAAGACTAAAAATGCCATTTATACACCATTTTCAGATTTAATTTGGCATTTTGTAACAAAGAAAGAAGAAATGGAGCAGAACATGCAGAGAAGAAGCAGATCTACTGAGAATGCCACTTTCGCAACTAATTTGGCATCCACTGTTACAAATTTGACCTCCTCAGTTACAGATCTGCCCGTTTCCAGTGTAAATGCCAAGATTTTTATCAGAATGCCAGCTTAATGGCATTTCCAATTGAAAATACAAAATTTTTAAGACTAAAAATGCGATTTATACGGCTTTTTCAGATTTAATTTGGCATTTTGTAACAATGAAGAAAGAAACAGAGCAGAACATTCAAAGAAGAAGCAGATCTACTGAGAAGAAAAGTTTATCTCCGGCGGCAGCGGCGGTGTCCTTCGCGACGGCGGTAGAGAAGAAGACCTTTGGCAGCGATGGCGGCAGAGAAGAAGATCTTCGACGGCGGATTTCGTATCTGTGTCGACGATGGCTATGGCTGAGCTTCTAGGTCTGGTCGTTGTTATGTGAAGGGGTAGGAAGAAGATCTGCAGAGAAGGAGAAGGTGAGGTGTAGGGAAGGAAGAAGAAGATCTGTTGGGCTTCTAGGTGGTTGTTGTTGTGCGTATGGGGAAGAAACGAAGAGGGATGTGCGGTTTTGGCCTTTGGGATATGAGTGGATCGAATAGGGAAATAGGGTTTCGCATGAGTGGAGCAGCGTATCATCATTAAGGATAAAATTGGAATAATTTTGAAATTGAATCCTATTTAAGATAAAAAATAAAAACAGTCTTATGACAGCTTATTCGATCTTATTTAGTACCATTTACGACCAAATTGTCTAAATAGAGCAACAAAAACTGAGGAATTCCGTGTCAATAATTCTTCAACCAGATCATTTGAGTGAGTGAAAGCTGCAAATTAACTTCTTTATCAGAGTCCGCGTAATGGACGATTTCCATGTTTTCTTCTTCCCTATGATGGCTCCTGGTCACATAATCCCAACCTTAGACATGGCGAAACTCTTCGTTTACAGGGGAGCCAAAGCAACTATCATAACCACCCCTCTCAAAGTCTCTTCCATAACCAAATCCATCAAAGAAATCAGCCACCTCGGAATCGACATCTCCGTCCGGGCCCTCAGGTTCCCGGCAGCGGAGGCCGGGCTGCCGGAAGGATGTGAGATGCTTGATGAGGTGACGTCAGACGACCAAATCCCGAAGTTCTTCAAAGCCACCGCCATGCTCCAAGGACCTCTGGAGCTCCTCCTTCAGGAGCTCCGTCCCGCAGCGCTCGTCGCGGACATGTTCTTCCCGTGGGCCACCGACGCAGCCGCGAAGTTCGGGATCCCACGGCTGGTGTTTCACGGGATCAGCTACTTCGCGCTCTGCGCCGCGGAAAATGTGCGGAAATATAAACCGCACCGCTACGTCTCGTCGGATTCGGAGCCGTTCGTGGTGCCGAATCTGCCGCACGAGATCAAGCTCACTCGGGCGCAGCTTTCGCACCATGATCGGCACGAAGGGGAAGGGGAGACGCCCATGGCGGAATTGCATCGGCGGGTGAAAGAGTCAGAGTCAAGAAGTTTTGGTGTGATAGTCAACAGCGTGTACGAGATTGAAGCTGAGTACGCTGATTACTATTCCCAGGTGTTGGGGAAAAGAGCTTGGCACATTGGCCCACTTCTCCGGTGTAACAGAAAGATTTACGAACAGAAAGCATTGGATCTCAAATGGCCAATTCAGGAACGTGGGCACGAGTGCTTAAAATGGCTGGACACCAAGAAACCAGACTCGGTTAGTACACACTTAATTTGTTATTAAGTAATACCTAGTATTTCCTCCACTTTTAAATTAAATACAATATGTTTAAATCAACATTATTCTCGTCTTCTACTTTAACTACATTTTATTTATTAATGTATTAATAATTTATTTTTATGAGAATATTGTTAAATTTGTCCATAAATTTTCAAAATTTGATTTTTTGAAAATTTTTAATAATTGAAAATTAAATATATTTATGATCAAATTTGTGCGTTGACAAATATGAAAAGTTGATTGTTGCACTTATTTATATGACATAAAAACTAGTACCCAACAAAACGTTCACATAATTTTCAAGTCATACAAATCAAATTTCCCTTATATTTGGGGGAAAAATTAGAGTACGGAGTGACGAATTTAGGGACTAGGGACCAGCCAGAACACCAATGTTCCGCTGTCCACGGGTGATTTAGGTATTTGGGAGGCGTTTGTAATTGATTTTACGTTTTCTTCTTTTAAAAGTAAAAGTTGAATCAGTATCAGTTTTTCAAAAATTGATCTGTACAAATTTCTAAAAACTTACTTCTAAGAGCAATTTTGAGCACTCGGAAGCAGTTCCAGAAGCTTTTCTCCATTTTTACTCAAACACTCTCATATTTGCTCTTTCAAGCATGAGAGCAGATACAAACACCCCTAATTTTCTTAATTTTTTGCTCAAACTACTTCATTATTACTTCTCTATTCTACCAATTAAATTAAACCTTAATCAATAATATATACGAAGTACTTTGTATTTGTGTAGATAAAATGCATAAATGGCCCGAAATTCCAGACACACAACACTATTTTTTTTATATCTAGGATTTAATGATCCGAAATTTTTCCATTTAAACGTCTAAATATTCAACATACAATGTTTATATATGTTGAATAACGGGTGTAATGCGTAAATGGTACTTGAACTATTGGTAATTTTGCATTTTGGTACATTAACTCTTAAATTAAATGAATCAAAACAGTATGTTAATTATACATTAATGTTTCGAATTGAGATTTTATTCAAATTTCTAACCAAAAAATCACGCGTGACGGTCAGAATACTATGCGTATAGTCTACTTCACTTTAGTTTTGTTCATATGATCACTATAGGGTGACTCTACACATGAAATTTGATCGTTATGAAGGATTTTTTGGTCGAAAATTTGAATAAAATCTCAAATTGAAAAATTTATGTATAATTAAGGTATCGTTTTAATTCATTTAAGAGTTAAGGTACTAAAATGCAATATTAAGAATAGTTAATGTATCATTTATTAGTTGAGATTATTTTATTGTGTTCGAAGTTTTGGGCTACTTACCAATTTGAAAGTTGAAGACTTTTGAACATTTTTGAACAGGTAATTTATGTATGCTTTGGAAGCATGTCCAACTTCACGGCTTCGCAATTACACGAGATCGCCGTCGGCCTAGAGGCGTCGGGGCAGCAATTCCTCTGGGTGGTGCGCAAAGGCAAACACGACACAGCCAACTCCGGCGACGAAAAGTGGCTGCCGGAAGGATTCGAGAAGAGGGTGCTGGAGCAGGGGACAGGGCTGATCGTGAGAGGATGGGCCCCACAAGTGCAGATCCTCGACCACGCGGCGACGGGCGCGTTCCTGACCCACTGCGGCTGGAACTCCACGCTGGAGGGGATCTGCGCCGGGGTGCCGATGGTGACGTGGCCGATGTTCGCGGAGCAATTCTTCAACGAGAAGCTGGTGAGTCAGGTTCTGAAGGTGGGGGTGGAAATTGGGGCGAAGCAGTGGAGCAGAGTGACGGACGACGTCAGGGCAGAGGCGGTGGCGACGGCGGTGGAGAGGATCATGGCGGGGGAGGAATCGGAGGAGTTCCGGAGCAGAGCGAGACGGCTGAAGGAGAAAGCGCTGAAATCCATAGAACCCGGCGGGTCGTCTGTCTCTGCATTGAACTCCCTGCTGGATGAGTTAAGAGAGTGCCGCCGGCGTTCTTCCAAGTAGACTGGAAAAGAAGATTCTGTCTCTGTTTTTAATACTTCGTAACAATTACTCCGTACTACGTAATACGTATAATAGGATCATGTCTGCTCCTGACTTATTTGTAAAATCAATTTATAAATAATTACTGTATTACACTTTTCTTCCTCATAATTGTGTTTGTCTCACGCACACACAATGAATCTACAGAGTGTTCGCAGACAGACAACTTTGTTTGCGTGAGACAGATGAATTACAAAAAGTGTACACAAAAATGTGTACACTGACACAACTCTTATTTTCCTTTAGACTATTTTCAATCTGACACGATATCAGATCAGATCAGACTTAAATAGATAAGACAAGATCAGACTTAAATGAGACCATACAAGACTTGAAAAAATATGAAAAAATGGGACAAATCTTGGACTGTGGCGTAGAGCAGAGGGGGTGCGACCAGTTGGGATAGCTATCGGACGAGGATGACCTCATCAGTGACGACACAATTAATGGTGGGACCTCTTGCGACCGGACAAGGTACGCCTCCCCTGCGAAGGTGGATCTTCAGCGATGGTACGTAGAGGAAGCTTCGTGTCCTATTGCGACCAAACAGGGATCCTTTGATGAGTCACACCATCAACTCGACCTTTTAATTTGAAAGCAGAAGGAGGAGTACACTGTACACACCGTGAGTTCACTGAGTTGTATTGAGTTCCAAGTCAGCAGCACACTTTGTATAGACATTTCCATTGGAGCATCTTATTTATTCGTAATTTCTATTTATATGACGTGGCAGTTCATTTTTTAGCAATTCATACTCCCATTGAAGATACTGTCTCAGAACAAAATGTAAAATTCGGAGTGGAAGACGGGAAGATTTTTAGAATTTTTTTTTGTAAAGAAAAATTAACGAAATACTCCGTATGTAAAACTGCTTTTATAGCATTCCATGATCCTCAATGTGGAATTTAAAGAAATCCTTCAAAATCTCTTGTCCTCAGCAATAGAGTTCGTATATCGTGGAATCATCCCACGGTGATCACCATTCTCCACACTCAAAACGACATAGTTTTAATCAATTTTTTAAAGAAAAATCGTGTGAACAGTACACACGTAAACAATACACGCGTGTACAGAAACTGTTTTTTTCGTCCCAGTAGCATGAATGTTGTAACTTGTGCATAATTAGATGTAACTCGTGTTGCTACAAATGTAACTTCAGTCAACAACAAACGTAAGTTGTGCCCTAAAATGTAACTCATGTTTAATGAAAAAAAGAGTCGAATTGTCCAATTATTTTACATAAATAGTGCATATGTTTTGTTTTTAATATTAAGTCCATTAAAAATGATTTTTAATAAGAAAATCATTTTTGATTGAATAATAGAGGTTTATTTTGTTGTGTAATTCACATTGTTTTGTATTGTAACTCGCAGTATGATAGATGTAAATCACGTATAAACAAGATGTAACTTATTGAGTAATAATTAGAAATTGTCTATTCTAGGCTTGACGTTCATGCCTTGTCATGTCGTTTTTCACATTGGGTATATTAACTATTTTCATAATACCTTCTTTTAAAAAGATTTGCCATATTAATTTTTCTTATGCAATGATGACAAATTTTGGATAAATTATATAAATAATATTCAAATGAAATTTATTTACTAAATTATAACTAATAATTACTATAGTACAGTCTCATACTCTTTTAAATGTCAAAGTTAAGTATATGTTACTATGACTAAATTACTAGTATAGTCTCATACTATGTCAAACTTATTTTATTTGGAATGATAGTGTGCACTTAAGATGTCACATTTGCGTAAAAACATTTATTTTAGTCATTCTTATATAATTATTTCACTATTAAAGAATCTTCAATGCTACAATGTGGTTGATGTATCTATTTTTTGCCTTTTTAGTTTGCGATATTATTGCATATTCTACTTATACATATCTTGATCGGGTAAATTTAATTTTGAAAGCTAACAAAAATTAAAATAAGTTTTAGCTTAATTTTAGATTAAATAAACAGAAACAATAATTTGAAAACAATTTGAAACAGGGTCTTACACGAGTTACATCAAACGTAATGTGCCATTTTTCGTTGATGCTTCTGTTAATAAAGGAACGTCGTTGGTTTTGTGACAAGAAACATCATTAGTTATGGAATCTTTGAAATTACCACACTTCTAGAAAGAGGAAGTTGTTCTTTTTTTTGCTAGAAAGAGATAAGTTTTACTCCCTCTCGTCCTAAATAAAGTTCAGTGTTTGACTTCACACAAATTAAGGAAATAAATTTGACTTTATTGTAGAGTACACTCTTGTCACACTGTTTGACACTGTTTTGCACTGTTTTGATGTAGATAATTTACCAAATAAAGAAGAAAGAAGAAGTGTGAACTTTATTTTGAACCGGCCCAAATAGGAAAGTTTGAACTTTATTTAGGAACGAAGGTAGTATTAAAAAGAATGAAAGTGACACATGCACTAATTAAAGAAGAAAGCAGAAGCAATAAAGAAAACTAAGCTAAGAAAAGCAAACTAAACTAAAGATTAAGCTTTCAGACGCAGTTGAGACCTAGTTTGCATAGAGTGACAGGAGTGAAAGAACAATTTTCAGTGACCTCAATAATCACTTTGTTCAATTAAAGTCGGAGAAGTCATTGAAGCCGTAGATGAAGAAAAAACAACACTCTGAGCCGAAGTATGAGGTTTCATCCTTTTATCTAAAGTCATTTGATCTGCCTTAAATTGAGTGATAAGATCTTGGAGAGAAGGATAAGAAATAATAGTCGGCTTCGCGTTCTTTCCCACATCATTCCGCTTGGGAAAAATATCATCATTCTCTTTCGCGTTCTTCTCGGAGAAAGTCGTTGGTTCCCTCGATGCATTAGAAGAAGAAATCAAATCAGTGGATGCAGACATATCTAGAGTGATTGCTGAGGGAGAAAAACCTTGAATATCAGCTTGAAAAAGAATCTCAGAGATCGAAAAATCATTATTGTTACCGACCCTATCAAGCCCCGACAACGAATTCGGTACATTCTCCATTGACTCTAAAAAATCTTTCAACAAATTAATGACTCTGAATAATCCTGCCAAAAAATTCCTAAAACTTGATTTGTTTCTTTCTTTAGGGACAAAAATAGAGTCAACCCTTTGTCAATAATCCAAATAAAACCACCATAAGAATTTGAATCGAAGAGAATTATAAATTTGCCCAACTCGAAAGTAGAAGACACTGTTTCTACAATTGTGGTTCTTTAACATCAAATTAAAGTACAAAAAGTTTTGAAGTTTCAAATTAGATCATCATGGTTTTATTTTCTAAAATATGAGTAATTACTGTTGATGTTGAATAATACTCCCTCCGTCCCTAATAATTTTGCCAAGTTTGACAGAAACGGGAAATAATAAAGTAAAAACTGTGTGGTTCATGTTTGTGCAGAGGATGGAGAATAAACTAGAATCACAAATTCTCTACTTAAAATGGAAAGTAGCAAAGTTAATGCGACATCCAAAAAAAGAAAGTTGAAAAAGTTATAAGGGACGGAGGGAGTACATTCATATTTTTAAACCGGGTAATACCTCTTCAAAAAAAACCGAATAATACAAAAACAAGATAATAATTATTGGTATTTAGTGAATAGAAACATAACAACTTTATTTAAGAATTAAGGAACCTTTAACTCCAACCAACCATTCCAGCTCACCGGGTGGAAGGTTACCGTGTCCTAGCAGAGGTCTCGGGTTCGAATCCCGCTAGGCACATTTAGGGGAGAGGAGGGATGTCTTGCTCCCAATGATTCTTCCTACCTTCACGGAGTTGCTCAACGCCTGAGAAGGGAGATGATGGTAATGAAGGTAGCGGGTTCGTGTGGTGGGAGGAGCAGCCTGAAAGGTGATGAAAGTCCTGCTGGATTCGTCCTTTAAAGTCAGTACTGACGAGGCTGACTGTGAACAGATCCGAACTTAACTGTCTAGGGGCTTTGGAGGGTAGTTCATGGACTCAAAGATTATGGAGCGTAAGGCTCGACATCTTAATTATCAAAAAAAGGAAGCTTTAACTCCTGTATATGGGCAATTTAATGATGAGAAGAGATTCAATTCCCAACATTTCTGGACCACGCCCTTTATAAAAAGCTGCGGAGTAAGAAAAGCGAAATCAGAATCAAATTAAAGACAAAAAAGTGGGACCTCCCTTAGAGTAGATTAGTAGAATGAGGCGGTCCTTGTCTCACTTTAGAGCATGTGTCAATAAGTGTCATCTTGGTTGGACGATTAGGAATTAGGATCGAGAGAATCCTGCTCAACTTATTTATTGTTGTACACCAGATTATGAATAAATGAGAGCGTGGTAAAATTTGTTGAAAGTATTTAATATAGCAAACCTACTCCCGTAGTCCCTTTTCATCAAGTTTTGGTTGGTAGGCATAGCAATTATGGGGCCTATCTCACCCGATAGGAAGGGAGTGTCATAAGAAAGAGATACAGAATTCAATTCCAAGCAAGGACTTGGAATGAAGCCCACCCTCTTACCAATCAAAGTTCAATTTACATCTTCTTAGATAATTATGCGGTCGATTCTGGGGGACTTTTAGGGATGAGATGTTATCCTTTTTTGGTCGGTAGGTGTAGTAGCTCAGCTAGTAGAAAGGGTGCGACAAGGAACAAGTCCCGGGTTTAATTCTTGATAATTGTGATGAGAGATTGTTATACAAAATGCATAAGTCCTCTTCAAGTAGTAGGGTCAGAGTCCCACAAGGCATTCACTATCTATGAATGTGTGATTACAGTCAGATTTACACCCTTCTAGTTAACTGTCTTGCCAGTGCTGGGGACGGAGTCTCAGAGTCATATATGACATGTCATTCTTTTCTCATCAATTCGTGACAACTGTGAGGATGAGTTATTATGCAAAATGCATAAGACTTCTTCAAGTTATTATATGATGAGGGTAAGAGCTTCACTCGCTACTATCAATCTGTGATTATAGTTCAATTTATATTGTCCTAATTAACTGTTTGACCGGTGCTGGGAACAGTTTGTCAAAAATGGAGTGTCATCCTTTTCTCATCAAGTTTTGACAATTAACACTTCATTCTTAAGAAAATCACACAGTTGAATAGTCCACAGTTCCACACTTCAAAGAGTTTTGAAGTTTTTATATATCTTGAAATGCTATTCTTAGAGCATCTCCAATGCTATAGTGTGCATGGTGCACATGTGGTATCAAAGATAACCACATAAATATTAGCAAATAAATTATCTCTCTCCTTATTTGAATGATTTTATACAATTTTGGTAAGTTTTCCCCTGCAATGTCAACTGCAATGTCAACATCTAGGCGGTCTCCTTGACATTGTGGAAAAAATTTACCAAAACTTCAAAAAACCATTCAAATAAGGATATAAAGAATTTATTTACTAATATTTATGTGGTTATCTCTCATGTCACATGTGCAGCGTGCACATTGAAGCATTAGAGATGATTTTAAATATCATTATCTATAGATGCATCTTTCTGAAAATCAATTTAAGGATTTTTATAATAGAAATGAAGAATGTTTTATAACAAACGGGAATACTATTAGCTATGTCAATGTTGTTCTAAAATGAGTAATTAAATTGTGATTAGTATTATTATCTCATATTTGTGCTAATAAAAACTAGACATTTTTTCCTCTTGGGTTGTATAAAAAGAATAATCTACTATATACACATTCTTATTTCCTTGTCACAATGGCTGATAAATGAAAGGAGGTTGTATTATATTTAGAATGTTTTTACTTGGACTGTAATTCGTCCCAGACCAGATCAGATCAGACCAGTTCAGACCAGACCAGACTTGGATAGTTATAAAAATACAAAGAAACCAGACCAGACCAGATCAGTTCAGACTAGACCAGATCAGACCAGATCAGACCAGCAAATTACAGTCCAAGTAAAAACATCCTTATACTATTATATGAAGTAGTAGGTTTATAAAACGGAAAGAAAAAAATTATAAAATGGAAAGAATTAGGTAGATGCGTGCGCTCCAACTACTCTCTAATGTATTTGCAACCGTTAATTACTTATGTAGACTTTTTGAGTTTTCGTCACATTAATATGGATTGTGACAGTTCAAAATAACAAGTTACGAATCTATGAACAAGTACCAAAAGATATTGGGTTGATGCCTAGTTCGACTATCCCATTTTTTGCCCTACCATTATTAGGTTTGATTAAAATTAAATTAAATTTACATTAAAATACTCCGTATTGTAGTAGAAGTGATATTAACAATAATAAATTTACTCATTTCAAATTTAAATTTTACTTAAACGCAAATTACCGCTGAATTTGTAAGTAGTGAAAAATGATTTATGAACTTATAAAGTTTTTAGATTGATCACATACTCAAAAAGAATAAATTTAAAACAATACTATACTATAATGGAGTATCTTTGAATGTTTTATCATATACACTAATATATCGTATTATTAATTATAAAGAAATTGCTCGAAGTGAAAATGTTTGTGATTTTCGAACTATGACCATCATGTTTTTAGTTTGTAAATAGCACAATTATTGTAATATTTTGCTATTATAAGACTTTAAACATGTCAATGTTTTCATCGTTTAACATTAATTACTCTAATTTAGAAAATTCTCCCTTATTTATATCAATCCTCGAGAAGTTGCGGTAGTTCTATTTTTCTTCTTCTCATTTTACATTTCTAAAAGGGAAATCTGCAAATTTTGTCCCATAACTTTCGGCCATTTTCGTTATTAGTCCCGTAACTTCAGTCACTTACAAATTTGGTCATGTAACTAATTAATATTTGCGATTTAAGGACTTTTTCCATGAAAAGTACATTTTTCGGCGATAGTATACCGGAAAAGATGTCGTCGCCTCTTCGGCATCGTATTTTTCTATCGAAAAGTGTACTTTGCAGTGGAAAAGTGCTTAAATTGAAAAGATTTATTAGTTACAGGATCAAATTTGAAAGTGATTAAAGTTGCAGGATCAATAACGATAACAACTGAAGTTACATGGCTAAAATTGCAAATATCCCTTTCTAAAATATGCAAAAACATGATTTGTAGATTTGATTTGCTTTTCAAAATAAGAAATTTAATTTTATGAACATTAAATACACTATGATTTTAGAAGTAGTCCCATATTAGCTAAATATTAGCTAAATATGTAATATCTTTATATACTCCATATATGATAGCTCATCAGAATACGATCATTGGTATTTATGGAGAAGTGAAACAAAACATATATAGAGATATACGAGTATCAAATCTTATACTCCGTATATATATGTTTTGGTTCAAATAAGAACATGATTTTAAGCGAGAAATGAGAATGAATTTGAACTTTTAGATTTGTTTTAAGTGAAATTCAATGTGCATTAAATGAAACTGTAATGTGCATTATGAAATTGAAATGTGCAGCACAAAGAGTACGATACAGTGACATCATGTGAAAGATGAAAAAAGTATTTCACGAAGTATTCAAGTAATCAACTCAAAGTACAATCGTGAAAAGTTAAAATTGGGTTTTTATACCGTATAAAAGTTAAAGAATGGAATAATAGTGGAGATATATTAAACTTATAAACATTATCCTTCTAATTTCACTTTATGTTATAAAACCCACCATTTTATATATTGGAGATGGTATATATGAGGACGGGAGCGGAGAAGTGTTCATAGACTGAGAATTGCGAAGTAATTTAAAAAGTTGTACAAGCTAGACATTTGGCTTTATAAAAAAAGGATGACACCCCATCCCTGAAGGCCCCCCAACCCCGACCGGACGGTACGTTGGGAGGATGTAAGTTGGACTATAATCTCAATATGACAGATAGAGAGTGGGGCTTTATCCCCGGTACTTGAGAGGGCCTATGCATTTTTTAGCATAGTAACCTCTCATCGCAGTTGACGGGATTCGAACCCGGGACCTAACCCTTGTGGAACTCCCTCACTATCATTTGAGCTACGCCCACCGATAACATTTGGCTTTATAAGTTATGTTTAACGTATGAAAAGTTTATTAGCACATATATGTCTTGGTAAATAAATAAATATCTTTTTGATAAATATTTTTTTGTATATCTTTTTCAACTACTACTAGTGTTTTTCATTGTAATCTCATACTTCATCCATTTATCACAATAAAATTATACTTTTGATTTAGAGTTGTTGGACTTATAAGTTGTGCTTTCTCTTATATAAGTTACCTTATTATCTCTGTTAGTTAAACTTCGCAGTTCTAGCCTTAGACACACTTATTATATAAAGTTCTGCGAGTACATTGGTCCACACTTTTTAAATAGATGAGCAAGATACACAATAATTAAGAAATAATGAAAATATATGATCGAAATAAAAACAGCGAATATAAATATGTAGTCATTTTTTACATTTTAGTGACTAAAATATCAATTTTTATAATCATAATTGTGTTTAACACTACACTATAGTGATTATGTATAATAAATACGGAGTATAATACTATCTATGTCATAAATTGTTTTGCAAAGTCAATATTTTCTTGTCAACTAATATTAAAGTTAAATTCTCTATGTTGATAAATAATTTAATTTTAATAATTCAAATTTACATATCGAGAAACTACATTAAAATCTTTATAAAGTTGCAAAAGTAATATTAAAATTTAACAAAGAATTGAACCAAGCATTCCAGCTCAGCTAGTTGTGAGGTTACCGTTCCTAGTGGGAGGTCTCGAGTTCGAAACCCGCTAGGCACATAAGGGTTTGAAACTCAATGGAGTGAGTTTCACCCCTGATTACTCCAGGCCCCTCAGCCCCCTCCCCCAGACTCCCCGGAGTAAAAAAAACAAAGAATTGATGTCCTATTTAAGTGAATAAAATGAATCTATTTGACTCAAAAAATTAGATCTCGTTTGGTAACGCTAAAATTGTTGAATTGACTGATTCTGTTGAAACTTATGAGATTCCGACTGAAATGACTAAATTGGCTGATTCTGCTAATTTCTGAAAAAAATTATATTTAAAATATTTTTTATTAATAAAATAAAAAGAAGTTACATGAAAAATAGCTAAAATAACCTTTTACAACAACATCAACCTTACGTTTTCTTATTATTACACAATTCAGCTTACAAAATAAAAAATTACGTGTTTGATGAAAAAGTTAGCCGATAAACATGATAACCCGAAACTTATAGTCATCAAATGGACTCTTAAGATGAGACGAAGAGAGTAATATTTTGATGCATAAATTACATTGGAGTATTTGAGTCACATCAGGAAAAACCTCATTAAGAGGCCGTTTGGTAGCACTGATTTTCGACTTATCAGACTTATCAGTCAACTTTTTCACCACACGTAACTTTTGTTTTCGCGCGCTGAATTGTGTAATAATAAGAAAAAGTAAGGTTGGAGTTAATTTCTTGGCTGTATTGGCGGAAGTTACTATAGATGACCATTTTAGATATTTTTACATATAATTTTTTCATTGTTTTATTAACAAAATATATTTTAAAAATAATATTTTCTTAATTCAACAGGATCAGGCAATACAGCCACTTCAATTGGAATTTCATAAATTTTAATAGAATCGACCGAATCATCCCATTTTCATGTTAGCTCTGATTCATTTGAATAAGAAAAATCAGATATTTTCCGCGGAGGTTTAAATGAGGGTGCGACTTCGTGTCGAAAGAAGGGACAGCAGACACTTGTCGCCTCCAGCAAGCTCTACACCGGCGAGGAAGAAGAAGCCAACGACACGCTTCCCCAACTCCGTCTACCTTTTCCTATTACAAAGGGTAACCAAAATTTCTTTTTCTTTCCCTCTTCAGTCTTTAATTTCAACGGCTGAGATCTCCCGTTCTCGATCGGGGATTATATTCACCAATTTCTTCATTTTACAAGACAATCTCAGGACTTGAACACATGTAATTACTAGAGTGGCCATAATCTCATTAATCGGATTAAGGAATATAAATCGATCTCGTTTTCCTTCCCCTTTCTTTGATGGGAATTGTTTATTCAATCTAATTTTTGCATAAAAACTTAGTTCTGTTGCATTTAATGGCTGTTTGAGCTTAGAAGATTGTCTTATACTTCAAGAATGAATAGGCTTGCTTGGTATTGAAGTTCTGAAACTTTTATTTTTAAAATTTTAATCTGATCTATCTGGGATCCTAAATCCTAATATATAGATAGCTAAGTGGATTGAAATAGTGAAGTAAAGCAAGCCAAAATCTGATCTTGCAGCTAGCCAGGTTCTTGAAATGATCGAAGAGATTCTAGGATTTCTAGGTCTCTAGTTAAAGATAGATCTTCTCATCTTCTATAGGTTGCTAAATTAACTTGTGGGTTAAATACATGAGTAATTCCTTAAAATAAGACTCAAGTATAATCACTTTCTTTTGGACATCTATATTTTTATTTCTATTCGAATGTAAAAGATCGTTACATATGGAATGTCATAAAAAAGAAAAATCATGGTTTGGTCACATTTATAAAAACACAACATGTTTTAGTCTTGGTAAATTTCTCTTAAATCTTTAGGTCGCTATTATGTTTTCCATTTATGTAACAATGGGACTTTTGGTACGTTTCTTTTCAATATTTCCACCTTTGATTCTTTGGGGCACACTTTCGATATATTTCTATAAATTTACTCTGTTATAGGATTTATTCCTTTCACTATTGTAATGTCAAAAATTTCAAGGTCATTATACTATTGTGACTGACATTTTAATTGTGTTATGTGTAGACAACTCTAACGGTGACACCTTTATAGTCATATAACCATTGTGGTAGTGTACCATTTGGTAGTCCAACTCATGTGGCAAAATACAAATATAAGTTGCCAAAAATTTATTTGCACCATAATTAAGCTAGAAATGAAAAAAACTAAAAGAAAGTTACCAAAAAAATGTGTATGCCACAATAAATACTCGAAAGGTTAGAAGTGAAAAACTTGAAAGTTTGATCCTCGCAATAGGGGAATAAAAGTGGTAAAAAGTCTATCATCAAACTCAAAGGCCATGCCTCCAAATGATTCTTTGTAAGAACCCACAGACTTTTTTCATATGATTGCAAAAGGTTGTGTTTTTAATGAGGTGAATTTGGCAGAAAGCTGTGAATTGAATGAATAAGGTTCTTTCATTTTATGGTCCAAAACACCTTACACATTCTAAACCTTTGAGTCTAAAAAGGATTCAATCCCTAGTTGTTGTTCAGCTTGATCTGCTAGCTTGATAACCACGAAATGCACTTCAATCCCTGGGTAATTATACTGATTTTTTTATATGATCAGATTCAAACTTGGTCAAGAATGGGTTCTTACTTGAACTTCAAGAACTCTGGGGAGGCTCCAGTGAGCAGACAAACTTCGATGTACTCACTGACCTTTGATGAGCTCCAGAGCACACATGGTGGACTTGGGAAGGATTTTGGGTCAATGAACATGGAGGACCTACTGAAGAACATATGGACAGCTGAGGAGGAATTTAATCAATCCCTCGCATCTCCTTCTCCAAATAGCTTTTTAACCATTCCTAGGACGCTTAGCCTGAAAACTGTCGATGACGCGTGGAAAGACTTCCAGAAAGAGACAGTCTCGAAAAGCTATGGAGAAATGACACTTGAGGACTTTTTAGTGCGAGCTGGCGTTGTAAGGGAGGACAGAATGGTAAATTCAGGAAGTGCCGAATCTGCAAAGCAAGAACAGCAGCTTTTCCAGCCACCTTTGTATGCTAACCAATCTACTGCACCTTTTGTCTCCCCAGTTGTTGGAATATCTCCTCCTCCTCCTCCTCCTATTGTTTCTAATAGTAACTTGGATAGACCTTCACTATCCCCTTCGCCGTATACATTTAATGAAGGTGGAAGTGGGAGGAGAGGGTGTGGCGGCTCTTTAGAGAAAGTAGTTGAAAGGAGGCGGAGGAGGATGATTAAAAACCGGGAATCTGCTGCAAGATCTCGAGCCAGGAAGCAGGTGATTTATTATATGGTTTCTATCTTCTGTCTTGTAGCATTCTCTTGTTAACTGACTTTTTTTCCTTCTAAATGATTATATTAAACAGAAAATCACATATAGGCTTTTGTTCAAATCTTAGTAAAATTCACCTTATACTTTTAGTAGAATAACATAAGCGTAAGAATTAATTGAGAAGTTAAGAATGATGTAGAAGGCATGAACTTTCCTATTTTCTTTTTATTTTTTCTTTACAGAGCATTCCTGTGATCCAAACATTCCCAAGACTAAAACTCAGTTAAAACCATTTCTTGATACTACCTATGTTCTAATTAAGGGCTAGGTTTCTAATGCTAAAAGAGTATTGTTCATTTGTACTATACTTTTTAAAATGTTTATGGGTGTCTAGCGATAATAGAGTGATACTCAACAGAGTCAGAACATGAACTACTGAATATAATGTTCAAGTGGACATATCCTTGGATTGATTGTATTAATTGAAACCATACCTTGTTTGTTATCTTACTTGCTGTGGAAAGAAGAAAATAATAAATTGGTGTCACCATGAAGTTAGTAAGGAATAAAACTACTTTTTTTTTCTTTTCAATTGCATGAATATGACAGGCATATACTTTAGAATTGGAAGCGGAAGTAGCAAGAGAGAAGGAAATTAATGCACAACTGAGGAAAAGACAGGTTACTTCATCGCTTTGGACGAATTGTTTATGTTCTGTTGCCATATATATTCACAGAAAACAATGGTTCTGACTGTGTGCTTTTATGTGATTGTGTTGTTGCAGGCTGAACTTTTGGAGATGCAAAAGGAACTGGTAAAAGTCTCTCTTGTCTCATGTTATGCTGTCTAGTATTCTTCTCATGCAATGTAGAATGGCTTTCTGAATGCTAAAATTTATTATTAGCAGTATAAATGCGTGTGAGAAATAGGGTTGGTTTAGAATAATAATTTGGCAAAGCGTATGAAGCATTCAATGAGTGACCCTATTTATAAGGATATACAAATAAATCTAACTGATTTAGGAAGACTAGTCTGACAGATAAAATAAAGTAAAATGCATTTAGTTACACTTACAGCTGTGCTGTTTAGGCCATTTAGTCCAATTGAGCAACATAGCAATATATACTCTATAATCTGTACTTCGTTTTATGTTTTATACTTGTTACATTATGATAGAGTTACATGATTGAGTTGGAGTTGCTCAACTGGGCATCAGCCACTTGGGCTAAACTATATTAAAAGATTGAATCCAGTCTTCTGTTCACTGGTTCATCCCAAGCTCTTATTAACTCATCATTTCTCTTCACTCGTTCGATGTGACTCTAATACATTCTATATAAGTATATAGTAGTCTAGAGTGAAACTGCTATTTGGAATATAATCTTAAGCAAAGGGAGGCTGCATTAGGGTTTAATTTTAACAACACTCTTGAAGACAAAATATAATACCATATTTAATTTTTTTCCTCATAACTTCAAATCAACCTTCTATTTTTTTTTTTTAAATTATCATGCATGATGCAAATTTGTTTTATAGGAGAAAACGAGTGTGCCGCGTGAAGGAAAGTCTATACGCTTGAGGAGGACGCTAACCGGGCCGGTGTAAAAAAGTGTTGGGCAGAAGCGTATATTATATATGATCAGACATAGTTACCTTAAATGCAGCTAGACAGGTTTCGGTCATACTGCTCCCATGACCTGATTCGGATTTTCATCTTTGTAGGGAATATAAGAAGACATAGTGTAAATTAATGATGTTCTTACTTCTTAGCATTAAGCATATGTTTCATTAGGTGCTTTTTTTGAATGAGAGTACAGTATAAAGTTAGTTATGTAATTGACTTATGTAATCTGAATCCAAATGCGAATCTCATTTTCTGTTTTCTCAACATATACTACGTATGTTTATAGACTATGGTTACATATTTTTAGAAACTGATGATTGGTGAATGCGAAATATAATTTTTTGTCAAATTTCGGAGGAAGTTTATTTTCAGAGAAAAAAGTCACGTGATTAAATCTTGAAACGAATAAGTGGTTTGATTAAGGGAGATAAATGAAAGAAAATGAAAGATTTTTATGAGAAATAAAGATATACTCCATTAATATAGGGTGCGGTTCTAGTGAGATGATGCTTAACGTGAGAACGTGAGAACACTCACATTTAAATCAACGTGGTGCAGAATGAAGCTATTCTGTTGCACATTTTCAATTTGTTCGAATTAAGCCTATTTAAATAAACACGGTGACATTTTGGTAAATATTGTGGAAATGTGAAAATGTGCAATATAAAAGCTTCGTTATGCAACACGTTGGAGAAAATGTGGTGTTCTCACGTTCTCACGTTAAGCATTGTTCTCATTAGATATTTATTCTATATATATAAATAGAATAATATATATAAAAGAGGAACTTTTTAAGAACATACAAAGCGCCACATAATTCTGCCATGTCATTATATATAACAATTATTTACTTATTTTTATACCTTTTGTTTTTAATAGATTCTATTTTTGATTGAATATTGATATGGAAACAAAAATCCTTATAAATCCACCTTAATTAATTTGGTAAGCTTCAAATAAGTAAAATAATTTTTGGTTATCAAAGTGAAATTCTAATAACGTTTATTGATATGGAAACTAATTTATATTAGTTTACTACACCGAATTAAATAGATACAAATATGCAAATTAGTTTACTTATTAATTTGACACCTATTAATAAATTAGTAAACTTCAAATAAGTAAACAATTAAAAATGAAATTAAAAATTATAACCAACATAAAGTATATATATTTTCACAAGTAAATATGTTTAGCTTAGCCAAATAAGTAATTTTTTTTGGTTGTTTCTTTATTTTACCCCTAAAATTCAAATATGCCTTCACTTTTGAAATAGATTCCTAATCCAAATTAGAAAATCTTTATAGGTTTACGAATTCCTACTTTTATTTTAATAGAATATTTATAATTGGATTGATTTCAGTTCCAGATTAAATCAGATCAGATCAAACTTTAATAATTATAACAATAAGTCACATAAAAAACAGACATCTAATAGACCATATTATTCATACCAAATCAAACCCGAAATTTTAATTCAATTAAAAACGTTCTTATAAATGAGTAAACTGTAAGATCTAACAATTAAGAAATATAGATTTTTTTATTATTGGGTTCATAACAATTATGTTTACTTGAGATGCTTATGTAGAAGATCAATTTAACTTTTTTTGCATATATATTTTTCTTTGTTTCACAAATGGAATATATTTCACATATATTTTTCATGATTCAGAAGATTTCACCTATTTAACCAGAATTCAATCAATTTCAACAAAATAAGTTAATTCTATTTACTTTAGTATTATCAAACAGACAATATATTAGATTAAGTTTATTTTTTTTTTAAATCACATTATATGTGATCCGATAGAAATTAAATTTCAAGTTAACTAAATTATATACGCACGGGCTCGAAAACTAGTTATAATACTAAATCTTTATTCATTATTGTGCATCAAATAAACGATCATTAAATACGGAGAATGTGAGAAACAGCCTCCTGTAATAATCCTTAAGTCGCAATAGCAAATACAGAGAATAAATTAATATTAAACACAAAGCTGTTTGCAGTTGTCAGTGGCGCCCGTGGCCTAATGGATAAGGCGTTTGACTTCTAATCAAACGATTGTGGGTTCGAGTCCCACCGGGCGTGTACTTTTTTATCAACCGCTATTACATCAACCAAAGATTTTTCAATGAATACTCCGCATTTACCAAAGACCTCGAAAAATATAATTGCCCTATGTAGCACCGATACCGGTATGCGGAAACGCAGATACGGATACGGGGATACGGCAAAACAAAAAAGTAGGATACGGATACGAAATCATATTTATAAATATTAAAAGTTATGGGGGTGTATTTACAAATATTAAAAGTTACAGGGATGTATTTATAAATATTAAAAATAGATTTTTTTTGGAAATATATACATATAATATCCTATGAAATATACAAAAATAATATTTTTTTGGATATATATATCATATATATACATATATACCCATTCATTACATATACATCATAATATTTCTCATATACACTTGATGGACTATAGGGTATCCAATCTTATATACTTCCTCCGTTCCATAAAAGTTGCAACATTGGAATTTCCGATATATTAACTTTTTTTAATGTTTACTAATACGTAAATAAATATAATTACAGTCAAAGTTGTGCATTGGCAAACGTGAAAGTCAAACTGTTGCAACTTTTATGGAACGGAGGATAGTAATTAGGAGAGATTTGAGCTAAAGATAGTGAAGAAGATGAATGAATAGTAGAGTGTGAATGAGTAATTATGTTCTAGGGTTACAAATGGCTCCAAGAGGAGTATAAATAGGGAAATAATGGGTCGGGCCGCTAATATGGGCCCGGTAGCCCAACTACATAAAAGACTAATCTAGTACATAATTACATACAAATAACATATAAGCAGTACAATAATACAAATGATATCCGTAAGATGTGTGTGGGCCGCTGTTCGGGCCCAATAGTCATGAGACCCGGGGGTCCGAGTCTATATACTCTATCAATGGGGAGATGCCCCGTTAAAAACCTCATTAGGAAAAAACCCAGTGGGAAAAAATCCTAATGAGGGAAAAAGAGTACACCGGATGCCCCCAAAATGAAGCAAAAGGGGTGAACCCTTCGGCCTGGGCGTGGAACTGCAACCGTCGGCATCTGCTAAGGGGATAGCCAAGATCGGTCCTCGTATGTGCGTAGCTCCGCATGATAGGTAATCCTAGTCATCAAATAAAGATGACTAAGAGATAGGTCGAGTGACCGTCCATAATATGATGTCCAGGTCATCAAATAAAGTGACCGAGATATGTGGCCGAGAGGCCTATAAGAAGTCAAAGCCATCAAATAAAGATGACCAGAAGAGGCGGCCAAGTGGCCGGTATGATGTCATCATTTAGTTGCACCTATGCATTCAAATAAAATTGTTATATTTCTAAAGCTTATAATTCGCTATTGGATTTGGACCTACATTAAGTAGCCTCAAATTTTCAAGTTGGAGCTCTATCTAGGTTTCTATGCCTAGTTGGAGCGTGGCACGCATAAAGGACTGAACCTACCGCTGAGGGATTGTAGTTCATTTCCGATAGCTAGAGGGCACACATAACTCATACAAAACATAGAAACTAAAGTATGCATTTGATGACATTTGGATTGGAGCTTACTATCCACACTCATTTCACGTGACCCGGTGGCGCGAGTGTCTGTGCTCGCCCGGTGTACGCGAGTGCTCGGAATTTCATAAGTCCGTTTTCCAATGTCAAAAAAATACACACTATTTAAAAAAAATAATGGTAATAAATTAATAATCTAGCTTAACTTGCCACTCAAGTTCGTAGCTGGGATCCGCTAGACGCTATTTGCGGGTTTTTTCACGGATGACTTGCCCCTCGAGATTGAAGTTTGATGCTATATTATTAAAATATTTCATTTATGATTATTTTTGTGTACATCTTATCAAATTCACTTTTGACTATTAATAAATAGAAGAGTTTTGAATACTTATCTTTCAATTGGGCCGTGTATGTTGATATACCACTTAATTGTTGAGCTGCTGGGTTGAAAATCCTTCGCTGCGCCCACTCAGTTTGACTTGGTCAAAATCAGGGGATAACATTCAGCTGTTGTTTTAGAAATTGGCCGCACACTTCTACCTCTTCGTCTAACCAAGTTACGCCCATGATGCCTGCTCGTCCACCATCTACGCAGCTCACCGACACCAAGAAGAAGTCACGCCTTGCTGCCACAAGAGACGAGGGCGGAAGGCAACAACGTTGATGGAGGCCACGATGACGACCACCATAGTTGCCGAAGGAGAAAAAACCCGCATAGAACAGATCTGCTATGTCGATCCACAACTGAGTGCATAGCTCGACAGGAAGAGAGAGGACAAGGCAGTGACGGGACTGAGAAGATGGCTCCAGCCAGCCCTGGATCTGCTTCTCATGAACTCAAAACCATCATTAATGGCGAATCTTCTGAGATCTGAGGTCTGGAGTGGCGATGCCACTTCTCTGGAACGGCGTGACCAACTTCGACAGGTGCGGCGAGCTTTGACAGATGGCGTACGACGACGGTAACATAGACGGTGACGACATAGACGCTAACGACGACTTCGACTCAGATACATACAAATGACATATAAGCAGTACAATAATACAAATGATATCCGTAAGATGTGTGTGGGCCGCTGTTCGGGCCCAATAGTCATGAGACCTGGGGGTCCAAGTCTATATACTCTATCAACACTAATCCATCTCGAAATATAAATGTAGACATGTAGTCGATAAGTCATTAATTTAAAATGAGAAATAAGTCAAACAACTACAATCTTGAAATTAAAAGTGCAAGTACCAAAGTTCTAGAATAATTAAGATAGAAAACAATATTTTAAAAACATATACTGCTTAGAAGCTCGTGATAAAAGACGAAGATTGTTATGAACAAATACCAAATCCTCCGCTCGCTTTGGAAGCAGTTTGTTTCTTCTAAATGAATTAATAAAAGAATAAGAACTCCAATTCCTTTCTGAGCATGATGATGAAGTAGGTTGTCCTAGTATTTTGAAAGCTAATTTTTGAAGAAAAGGTGCATTAGAACCAAAGCATGCCTACCACTTCTTAGGTTCCATGTAATATCTGCTTGCAATAGATTCAGGATCCTCAAATTTTGGGTTTTTTTTTATTCAAAAAAGTTGATACGGGTATCCGTCAGGATACGAGTATCGGAAACTTTCAAAAAATTACAAAAAAAAATGGAAACTTTTAAAAATTAAAGATACGGCCCGGGAACGTACGGTACGGGTATCCTAGAGTATCGGATACGAGAAAGTATC